ACGCGAGAAGAGAGAGAGAGAGAGAGAGGGGGAGAGGGGGGGGGGGGCGAGAGAAAATGAGCCTGGATTTATCGGCCGACTCTCCGACGGCTTTGACTTACTTCGCGGAAGTCATAAAGAATTTTAAACGTTTCTTTTGTACGCACGCGTTTAACCTTTACGTTCTGGTTGGCGTGCGGTTCATGTTTTTCCGCGCTCCTAAGCGCGCTTACTTTCCTCCGACTGCGAGATCGATGTAATCCGCTGGTCCTCGCCGGCGGATTATTAATCGGTGTCGATGTCGGTGTCATTGGATAGCTATTCGTCTCGCGCGACTAGATTTAAAATCTACGTGAGAGACGTTACGACGCGAGGATTTAGTTAGATGGGAAAATTGATGCCAGTAATTGAGAAATCACTCCGAAGAAGAGTTTCGATTTCTGTGTTGATTTTTCTACCTAGATTTTAGATTCACGATAAAGATTAATTTATGTTTTTATTTTTTTTTTCTCGTTAATTGAGGATTGTTGATGAGTGCGTGATAAATTTCTGTGCACAGGTACTCCAACGAGATATAAAGGCGCACGGGCGTATCGTCAGGTCGGTTGTCAAATTGGGAGAAATTTTCACGCAGCAGCAACAACAACAACAGCAACAGCAGCAAGAGCAACAAGAACAGGAACAGCATCGAAGAAAGAAGCAGCAATCCTCGCAGCCTTTGCAGATAGTATACTCATTGGAGCGACATTGGCATCTCCTGTTTCTACGTGCCTTGGAGTGGCAGTGTCACATCGAGGCCCTCATATCTCGTATAAATAAGAGTAAAAATAAGGTAACGGTTTCTATTATTCGTTTCTTACCTTTCACGGAGGAACCGTTTCTTACCTTTATATCTTAGTTGAGACGCGAAGAGTCGATGCCGATTAAACGGCACACTTACGAATAAAAGCATTCAATTTTCTCGGAGATGATTACAAGTCTTTATCACTTTGTGATTTTAACTCGGTGCGCTCTAAGGAAGGCAAAAAGGCGCGCGAAAGGATAATTAAAATGTAAATAAAATATAATTAAAATGTAAAATGATTATTGTGCGCGTTCTCCATCGCTTTGTATTAAACTTCGTCGGTATTTTGTGGGAAAGCACATCGAACAATATCGATCGACGAGCACGAACGAATGGGCGATGTCAGGAAATAAAGGGTGGAGCCGAGCAATAATCTGCTAGTGGTTGCAATTGACGGAGATTCTTCACAATTGACGGCCATTAAGAATAGTATATTGAGTAGTCGCGGCGATTACGTTTTATTCGCTGCTCGTACAGAAAGAAAGCTCCAAGTAGAATATATATTTCGAATCTCGCTGCGGACGCAGGCACTCGTTTTTATATGAAATAACTTTCCTTCAATTAAACTTAATGATTTATGTATCGACAAATAGAGTATAAAGATTACTGATAAATTGAAAATTTCAACGTGAGATGAAATAGTCTGATAAATCTTTTTAGTGAGAGTTACAAAACAAACGTGAGATGGATAGGCCTAGAAGCCTTATTTAATGTAACAAGAAGTAAATATTTACATCGTAATATCGAGCTAAAATAATCGGCTGTATAAAATATTAAGATGCAGATCTTTTCTCGCATTCTTACGAACTTCTTACGAACCTGCCGTCCCAACCATTCTTCACGCTTGCCCTTTACCTGTTTAACTTGTAAAATCTCGTCGTGAGACCTTTTCTTTGGGACCTGTCTCAGGTATATCTCGTCGAAGGTACAAGATCCGGTCTTTGGACAGGGTAACTCGTCAGTAACGCGTCAGGCGTCCTACCGACTATAATACTCTTTCTCTTTCGCGTCAATTCCAATCGCGTAGAACACGACACAGCCGCGCTGATAGCGAGCGGCTGATAAAACTTTATTAAAACAAGATAAGTGCCGGCCTCCGTACGCAGAAGCGTACCGCTCAGCGCGTTTTGGAGCACGATAACGAGATATCGCGGAGATATCGCGAACAATAATACAAATCCGTTCTCGGGATCGATCGCCTGGCCTGCGTTGTGTGGCGATCGTCGTGTAAAAGGGAATACGATTTCATATTTCAGAACGCCGTGCCCCGCAGCGACAGCGACGAGGAACCAGTCACGAAACAGCCCCGTCTCAGCCGCGGACGATCGCGCGGCTCCGGAGCGGAATCGCAGTCGGGACAGTCGACTCGCTCGGCGCGCAGCGAACGCGCGAGACGCGCCGCCGGACGCTCGAGATCCGAGTACTCCGATCATCCAGCATCCGCGAGGAGCGACCAGTCCGACAGCGACGACCTTTCCGAGAACCGATCCATCGGCGAGGAATCGTATTTCGAGGTACGTGAATTTACCGAGCGAACGAGCCGAGCGAGAAGCGGGAGTTTTAGGAGACGGAGGATTACGCAGTTATTCGATCGGAGAGATTTGTCATTATTCGCAAATTGAAACACGCTCTCCGTTCGTTTTCGTTGGTCGTCGTGACCGCAACGGCGAGCACGAGGACCGAGGACTCGTGTCGTTATGGAAATATTACCAATCGCGCCGGGAATGAATCACGCGACTGACGGAAGCTATGTTTGTCTCTTCCAGTGGAATGTAGAAATAATCTAAGAATGATAAGAGTGCTTCTCGGTCTCGGCGACGCTACCAATGTAAATAAAGTTTAGATATAAATTTTAGATTAAACGAGAGAGCACCCGTGCTGCTCTTCTGCGATTTTTAGCCCGTGTGCGAAAGTCTAAATTTTTTTTTTTTTTTTTTTGCGTTTTTCTCTCTTCGGCGATTTTTGCAAATAATTGCAAAAGACAGGAAGTGCCTTGTAGTTGTTCCACGAATCGACAGCCGCTATTGTTCTTCATTCTTCTGTCGTGAAACACGACTATTACAAGTCATTGACCCGGTTTTCAAGCGCCGCGCGATTCATGCGTAGAAATATTATTAACTCTACTCTCCGAGCCGAGTACCGTAGGCATTTTTCCGATAATGGACGGAACTGTAATTAATTATTGTCGTTGTAGGTTAGTGCGATAGACGAGAATTTTCATTAACGCTTAATTGACCTCGATGAGCGGATCCAAGCAAAGTACGTCTCGCGAATTGCGCGCTTCCACTTTGGAATCTTGCAACCGCGCGAGTTAAATCAAGCCTTTAAGCCTTAACGAAAGATAAGAGAGCGCTGTTACTGCCACTTTACGCTGCGTAGGCTAGAAAATAGCCGCGTACCCGAATGTGTTAAGTGGACAAAGCCTAGGAGCGAGGAGGAACGGCTTCTGTAAAGCGAATCGCGGGCACGCATATACAGTAAGGAGTCTGTTACACCAGACGTCAGACGGTGATCTCGATAAAAAGTAGCGGTCCAATTTGTAAGAAAAAAAAAAAAAAAAACCGTAGCGTCCGAATTGGGCGGAGACCTTGCGAAAGATCTACTTTTCAAAGTAGCCTGTCGAAATCACAGATATCCGTGCCCGTTCGAGTTATTCTTTTATCTTTACTACACCGATATCACCGTAGGTTTTAAAAACTCGCGTTTGATCAATACGAAGAGAAGTAGCTCTCGTTGTCGATCTTTCTACGCTACGCGAATAAAACGACGCGGAATGAAAATGAGAGCGAGATTGATCCTTTAGAAATCTTGTTTACTAATCGACCGAGTTCGAGATCGCGCGAGAATTTGTTAAAAAATATTGGCGCGCGCTGATGACTCAGCTATCAATAATTGATAGTACACAACGTACTTTCTACGGCACGCAGGATGAACTGTGTCAGCTGTGTGTGATGGACGCGAGGTCCGACGAGCCGGTAAGACGAGAGGACACTACTTCCACTACGTCCATCGCGGGAGACCGAGGGGAGGAGGGTGACGTCGAGGAAAGCGGAGCGAGCGACAGCGAGCAACACGACATGCCGCCCACACCGGACACCGTGCCGATAACAACGTCGACGGCGGCGATGCAGGAGACGTGCGACGAAATCGACGCGGGGGGCGCCGTGCAAATCGAAAGTACGGAAAAATCGAATAACGGCCTGCGGACGACGAGCGAACTTGCGAAACGCGGAGCAACGCACGAGGCTGCTTCGTTCAACACGTGAGTTCTTTGTTTTCTTCTTTTCTTCCCCGTTTCCTTTTCTTCCCGTCTCGCCTCATTATCTCGCAACGGTAAAATCGTACGAGGATTGATCGCCCATTAGATTGCTAATGAGTTCCGTCGAAACAGCAAACGACACCAGATTGTTTCCTGATGTTTAGGTCCGACAGGAAATCGAAGAACTGCGGTACTTTCTACTTCAGGCACCTCGACACCGACTCCGAGACAGATTGTGGTCAGCTGGTCCAGGAATCCCCCAATACAGTGGACGATTCCTCCGAGGAGGAGTGGACCTACACCTCTGCCCGAGCTCAAAACAGCTCGGTTGTCGTCTCGGAACAGCGAAAGACAAACGTTGTGGTCCGTCTGGATTTTGGCGAGAGTCCGCGGGTTGATCTCTCCGAAAAAATGCATTTTGCGCAGAAAAAGAATTTGGACAGCAAGAAAGAAATGAGCGTGGAACGCGATGATCACGAGGCTCAGCAAAGAGATAGCGATGACGAAAAGAAAAACGATAAATTGAATATCCAAAGGTTAATTAAAAACGTTGAAAACTTGATCGGTGAAGAAAGACGTACTTTTCCGCGATTAGAATTTGAGAAGAAGAACATGACGAACAATCATCGAGCGACCGCGTGTGACCGCGTGAAGAAATGGTTGAAGTTGAACGCGTCGAGAAGCTACGAGGGCAGATCGCAGGTAAATTAGATGGATAGATTTCTAGAAAATCAGAACAGAGTTAGATTAAGTATTTTTCTTAGATCGAATCAGATAATCTCGTAGTTGACATAAAAATCTTATGTATGTAAAATTATATATTATTTTCTATTTTTATCGCTGACTTCGCCGGAAGACCTAACACGAGACAGTAGAAAACTTGACATAATTATGTATAACGGTGCGTGTATATTATTACAGCCATTAGATAGCTGCGATGCCAGCGGTGAGTACACGACAGAAGAATCCGACGGAGAAAGACAATCGATATCGTCGGACGATTTGCAGAGCAGCGTCGCGACCTATCGTCGATTCGAAGGTACTCTCGGGTGCATATCGCAATCCCTTTCGCAAGAGATACTCGATTACGTTCAGAAAACGCCTGTAAACGAGGCACCTACCGACGAAAGTATGCCGAAGGTCATAATGCGTTCGAAACAAAAAGCGAAAGGATCTAGACCGTGGAGTGTTTCTTGTATTTCACAAATTGGAGACAATCCTAATTTGGCTCAGATAAATAATCCTATCTTACCGTTCTCCATATCCGAGACTGCGCTTCATCAATTGGTCGCGACTCCACCTACCAAATCCGTATCCTTGGATGCTGCGTAAGTACATTATTCTTTTTTTTTATAATTCTAGTTTGCGTTTTAATCAACTTTCATTAATTACCAATCTGCGTTACTTTTTTGTGTAGTTGAGTAGAAAGTTTGTTATGTTTATATTACAGAGGATCACGGAAATCATTTAATAATTCGACGTCCACTTTGTTAGAGGAGTCTCTTATGTGTCCTGATGATCGCGTAGCTAGAAATATTTCATTTCGCAGAAAGAAAAATAGATTACGTAAGAAGACTTTGGTAAGGAAAATCTTGATATAAGAATCTGTTGACTTTCGCACTTTGTGTTTCAAAATATTAAACTTCAATAAGAATGGTAAAAATTATCAATTCGTATTTATTCAGGGCCGTAAGAGTGAATCTAGTTCAGAAAGCGCGCACGCTAATCATCATTCGGCGGGAAGCGATGGCAGCTCGAATCAGCAACGCTCATCCCGCAAAATAAATCTAAATCGCACAACGCATATTGTTTCGAAAGAAAACTGCCATGGTCATTCGACGACTCTCGTCAAATCTGGATCTTTCTCAGGCTGTACCGTCCATCAGCAATTGCACGTAGAAAGAATGCCTGTCAATAATCCTACGCCGCTCAGGTTACTCTGTTGCAAGTCAGTTGCTTCCACGTCGGAGACGGAAGGCGAGGATCGTGACTGTGCTCAAGGACACTTCGCTTATAATAATGATATGATGAATACTGTGCTGAATAACAAAGAACTGAGCAATCAGCAGTTGAATATAGATAGTGATGTAGAAATGAATAGTCTTGGTAATAATTCGTTATACGAGGAGACTTGGGATAATTATCAGGTAACAGTTATTGCATAGTAACATTTACAACAATAACCTAGAAATATATTATCTTTTTTCTGTATTGATTTATTTATTTGATTCATAGGAAAAATATATGAGCGAAGCTTACAGCGAGCCATTAGATATAGAAACAGCTCGACGATTGCTGGATTTTGGAGATGATTATCGAAACTTTCTCGATAGTCAGTCGGAATGCGCATCCAGTATAAGCGCAATTCCTACTTGTTCATCACTGCCTAAGACTCGCACATATCATGTACGTTCCTTACTATTATATTGTCTCGATCAAGTGTCTGTATTTTTTTTAATAAAAAAAAGAAAAAAAGAGAGATTCAATATGTATATATTTGAATATGTATATTCACAGTATTAAACATTTTGTGCCATTTTCTTATATGTCCGATTGTTACATCGATATAGGTACACTTCAGTATAAGGCATTATTACTTTAAATTATAGCTAGGCCAAATAAAGTTTTCAAGCAATTATGGAGGTGTTTTATTCTTTTTGTAATATTAATTGCATGTAAATTTTATGATAATATCTCATTATAATATAAGTTGCAAATGTTAATTTGCTATAAAATAAGTATGGTGAGTAATCCATGAATTATCTCTAGTCTTTCTCTTTTAAAGTCTGTTAATAACTGCATAATTATAACATTGCTAAATCAAACTTTAAGATAAAAAGACAATGGTGACAGTAAAACTGTGACATATAATTAAAAACTAATTTTTAATACAAAGAAAAGAAAGAGAGATAAAATGTCGGATGTAGACAACCTTAATACATTTATGGATCATGCCTATGTATGTGTATCATATTTATGTAACGTTCTGAATGTACGTTATGAATTTCAAGGAGGCGCCACTCGTTATGTAATCAAATGTTCACGCAGTCTAATCGTGTTTTAGAAAATTGGCGACAGTACGGAAGACAGCGATAATGACGAGGAAGATTTACGAAAAATCGCCGAAAATTCGCAAGCGCAACTTATACTTGCTGAAAATACTTTTGTAAGATCCAATGGCGCGGTTCCCACAGAACTCGTACGTATCTTCTTACTAATGCTTGTAATGCAGTGTCCTATACCCATAACATTTTATAGATGCTTTTGGACTACGGTTTTTACCTTATCCTTTATACGCTTTATTCGTTATTTCGCTTCATCTCGTAAGTAGTGATGTTATTAAGTTTGCACGTCGTACGCGTATATATTGTATAAACGCATGAAATATAAAGTTTGTTAAATTTAACTTAAATTTGCATTATAATGTTGCCTCCTTTCTTTTTTTCTATCCTATATTATCGATAACTGTAAGTTATATTTTATTTCCTTCTTACAATATATTTTATGATTCTTAAAGACAAGAAATTTTGTGCTCTTGTAACATGAATGAGATTTATGTGTAATTTTACTCTGTTTTGTTATTTTGTATATTAAGATTTGTAGTTATTATCCTTTCTATTTTTTTCCTTTAGTTACCTTTCTGAAAATTCTAAAAAAAATTTAGTCTTTAATTATTTATATGCATGATTCTTTATGTCTTTAGTAGTTATCTTTTTTCTATTATAAAACCTTTATGTAGTAAATTATAAACTGCAGTCTTGCAATATTTTGTGATAAATTAAGATTACATCATTTGATCATAGGAAATACTCTTTTTGTTAATAATATGTTAATTAAGTAGTATCAAATAAAGTAGTATCAAAGTGATTAATAGTACAATTTTATTTGATTTGTGTCGTGATAGTGTAGACACGTTAGTTAATGGAATTTATCCTTTCTATCTCCAATAGGCCGAAGTGGAGTCTGCGTGTAAAGAAAACTTAGGGTGTTTGCAGGCCGTGCTGGAATCGCAGAATGGATACTTGCGATATGAAAAATATTTGAAACAAGTTCGCGGTGAGTACAAGCAATTAACTAACTTCATGTTACTCTTCTTAACTACTATTCTGTGCCTAAGTGGGCTTGTTCTTATTTCCTGATGGTACGCGGTGAAAACTGATATCTTCCAGACATTGACATTTTTCTTATTGTATATTACATGTGAGATCGACTTTTATACAAAGTGACATGAGAATACTCCTGTTGTTTCATCGCATTGTGTATCTGTCGTTATCTTATATTATCAGTACAATCGCGTTTATTTTTTTCAATCGATGAACAGATAACAAAAACGTGAGTGTCTGTTTCTATCGCATAAAAATTTTATCTACCATTACACGAAGGTCTTTTTCTACTATCAGTAAGCGCACCAAGAAAAGTATCGTGTTCAATACGGCTGTGTCAAAATTAGCCGTAATCTATGTCATTGCGAAAACGCTACCGTAATTCGAGCGGCGTAACATTCACATTCATGAACCGTTGACTTGCAAGGAAACGTGGGAAAGTCGAACCACATTTTAATCCAACTAATATTTATCTATTTTATTTATTTGTACCTTATTATTTATGTTAAATAAAAATCTTTATGTTAACTATATGTCGGCTTATTAACATATTTCATAGAAAAAATGCATCTAATATTTTCTATTTATTTTAATCCCTTGCGTTCTGCACAGTGCTTATTATTACTCGATAAATGCGATATTTTCAGCTCTTGGCGAACTTTTACTTCGCGAACTTATTTAGTTATTTAGGTATGTGAATGTGGAAAGACAGAATCGCCTTACGGCGCTGAGGTATATATAATGAGGTATATATAATAAAATTTACACGTGTTAATATATTAATTTTATAGACGCTCGTTACACGAGAAACTAAGAGTAGCAAAATACACATTGTAATTAAAATAACGAGCGGGAAACAATAACGTGCGCTCTCGTGGCATCTAGATCGACGCTAGACACGACGCAGTTTGCTTTCTAGCCAACAAAGGCTCGGATAGGCGCAGTCGAGCGTAGGAGAAAGCAGAAGATGAAAATGTCTATATTTCTAACGACCACGCGACGCATTGTAAATCGTTCGGCAAATCGCGCGTCATATATTGTTCAGAGGAGGCATCGATATATCGCGAGTGTAACGCGTTCGAACGAAAGCTCCTGGCTGTTTTACGGTCCGCATTAACCGTATTAAGCGTGCCGTATAAGCGTCAGATCGGATTTACTCCGATCGTAAATCTAACCGAGATCGTTTGGTCGCCGATCGCGCGCGTGCACGTGGATGCGCGTAGGTGGATACGCACGCCGCGCATGTAACACGAACGTGTCCGAGAGTCGCGCCTTATATGACTTAGACATCGCCCAGGATTGTAGAAACCGGTGGTGCGGCCTCAGCCGACCTGACTAAAATTTACCTATATATATATATATATATATATATAATTACATATGGAATATGTCCACAAAAATATATAATTACGTATTAATATATACATTTATATATATTTTTATATATGAACATATTTTATATATAATATCTTATATGTAATTACATACAATTATATCTAATTATATGGAAAATTTTTTACCGGAAAGTAACACATGGAAAAATGCGAGCGACGTAAAAATTTAAATGGTAAGCAAAGCCAGTAGCATAAAGAAAAACACAAGCACTCAGAGAACTCAAGATTATCATTTTCAAGCTCTTGACTTTGATTGATGAATTTGCCTATTGCTCATGATTTTATCGTTTGTTTTTTTCCTACATGCGGCTAGCCTTAATTATAACCAAGAATTTTAAAATAAGAAAATCGTACGTTTCTATTTATTTTTGACTTGATTGGCTGATTCGCTTATTATTAGTCTTACTTCAGCGTCTCGTTCGACCACTTTGCGATCGGACACGGCCAATCCCGACTGGCTTGATAGTCCTGGTTAGATTATAATTAACGAATCGGAATTTGCCTCCGCGGGGGCAATCGGCGCGACACGCGCTCGCGAATCGCTGCTACGTTCAAGCCGTCACGTGGGCTCGGTGCTCGCGCTCGCGCCCGCGCCGCGAGCGCGTCGCAGTGTTTCGATGCGTCCGAGCGTCATCGGACGTTCGTCCGTCGCGCCCGCGTTTTAGCCATCCATTATCCGCCGCGATTATTTCGACAGGAAACTCTCCCCGCGCCTCCCCGAGAACCACCTTGCGTCCACCTGCCGTCTGCGGGTTTGCCGCCCCCGGCGATGCAACTCGCTCCGATGCTTGCACAAAGGGAGAAGGTCACCCCGACCAACTCGCGTATGTATTTCATCGTCATCGCCTATTATCGTCGTTGCGCAGTTGGCGCTATATATGCCAACCGTGGAAAATCGTTTCCTTTTCTGTTCGAGTGGCGGTTCGAAGTTTTTTTTCCAGGCGCGACTCGATCTCATTCGCGAAAAACACGATCGCCATATTCAAACTTCTTTTTGGAACACGGCCGCTATGTTTGCGCGAAAGGGAATAATGGTCGTAACGATCACTCCGAATAGCATTTATACGAAAATATAATTTCATGAGATTATATAACCGTCGTAGAATTTATACAGCGCGTCGAATATTGTCGAAATTAGATTTTTAAAAATGATTCGCGTGTCCGAAAATGACCGAATGGTAAAGCTAAACAAATGTCGTCGACGCGTTTATACGATGAGAACATCGATTAAAGTTAACGTTTACGCAAGCGAATGTCCGCAGATACAGCGATCAGATACAGATCGCGCGCAAGAAACTCGAATAAAATGCAAGAAGATTATTTCGAAATGTTTTATGTCGAAGTTATCTTGGGAAAAAAAAAGAGAAAGAACGACGCCAAGTCACAAATTTCGCTTGCTTAGCATTCGAAATTTACGGAACGTTGCGTCGCGAAAAGACGTACGATTGTACGTCAACCCTTCCTTCCGGATCTTCGCATTGTTGCATATGATAATAATACACGTCGACCGTGCAGCAACGCTGTTCCGTTACTCATCGAATATATCGATCATTCTCGCGATATCGCCGTTTGAAACAACGCGACGCGGCTGCGCGATGCACCGTGTCACGTGACGATCGCGGCACGATCGTCGCTCCACTTCTTCGGGACGAGAAATGAAAAATCACGATTAGTTTCGCGAAAGTAAATCGCATTGAGAAACTAAACACAATATTCCTATGTCACGTTGCATCTTGGGCGAAATTTGAATCAATGAGAATTTCACGCGCTCGCTGCGATCATAAAAACGTACTTTCACACACACACAAAAAAAAAAAAAAACGGAATTATTGAAGTATTTCACAAAGAGAAATTTTCGTTATAATTGATTACAAAATTCATTATGAATTTTACTATGTAGTAATAAATTTGGAACAATTTGATTTTTATATATTGATGTATTATCGGTAATAATAAGAATTTTTATAAGTATAAGTAGACAATATTTTATAAACAATATAAGAATAATTACGAAGCAAATTATAAAAATGTTTCGAGGTAAAATGTTTCGATTTAAATTTATTAAAACAAACGTATTAAATATATTTTTTAAGAAATTTACTTTCTTATTTTAATTTTCATAACATTTACAAGTGTATAATTATTATTAAATTATTTATATGCCACTCTTGATGTAATTTCTTTTCTTTATAATTTATCTTTGTGCTTCTATCTAGATATTTCAAGAGATCTTTGTTACGTTCTTTATTTGTTACGTTCTTTGTTACGTTCTTTACTTTCTTTATTTGTTTTATATAACTCAGCTAGATGTATGTGAACGACGAAAGTAACTAGTGATCAGTAAATATTATTATGTAGCACAATAAAAATTATCGTGCTGTCTAGTAAAATTGTTACTAAATTGAATTGAAAATAAAATTATTTAATATATATGTCACTACTTGACATTTATTTAAAACAATAAATGAACTATTTAATAATATATTATAAAGTTATCGAAATTTTATTAGATGTTTTAGCAAAATTCATCCATTTATATTTTATTTTACAATAAATATTAATAAATCAAAAAAAAATCACATAAAATTTTTTGAAATATGTTCTTCCATTCGTGTTCTATCATGATTTTTAGGATAAATTTTAAATTAAATTCTGTGTTTAAAAATTTGGTTAGATGCAGATCTGAATTTTGTTAGTAAAAATAATTATGTAGAATTATTATGTAGTTAATTATAAGATAAAAAAGATTTGTGTAATATTAATATTATATTTAAACGTTTTACATAATTATTTTGATAAAAAAATTATTTTTAAATCTATATCTGGTCAAACTTTTAGATTCAGCAAAATCGATCGTTTCGTATCCTTTTGTCGTACTCGCCATTAATTCGCCACATGTGCACGTTATTTCCGTGAGGGATGCGCGGCATTCGAAAACATCGGGACCAGCTGCATTCAATAGCGATTCACGCTCCGGCGATCGTACGCGGCAGAGCGAGGCGTTCTACGATCGCACGGAGCGTGCGTTTCCACGCATTTTCATATGCACCGTGCGCGCTTCGTATCGCGCACTTCGTGTTGTGTTTGTTCACGTTGGTACATGCACAGATTCGTCGTTTCCTATAGGTCAATGTAAAACGTCAATGTAATACTTTCTAAGCGTCAAATTTTTCCTATCGCATTCCATACGCGCATTCCTCTCATCCGACGAGCCCCTTAGTGGACGCAGCGGCGACTTTTGCGATGTCGCCGCCGCGATGGCGGGGAACGTTAATTCGATCCTTCGTTTCGCCTCTCTATCAGCCGCATCCGTATCGTCTCTATCGCGCTGACTATGCGGTTTCGGCCTGGAAAAAGTAAGCCTGGCCGCGCGCACACGCCGTAAAAAGAAAGTGGCGGGCACGGGAAAGAGGTCACAGAAGCCGTACGGTACAGACATAAGCATCTTGACCTTTAAGATTTTTTGTTCACGATCGTTTTACATAACCGGCTGATGAGAGCCTCACGAATCGTTACAGATACCGTTATTACGAATAACAGTATAACTCTCAAAGCCCGGAAACGAAACGACACATAGGAATATAATTGCTGGTTTCCTTTCTTTCGCAATATTCGTTGGAGAAAGAAGGAGAGGAAACAGTTGAACGCACGAATGCGCATGTCGAAATGACATATGTTAAATTATTGAAGTATATAATAATATAAGGATGTTTGTTATACTATCGTATTCATTTAACTAAAACATTATGTTTATGTGTTATATTTTGTGACAGCGAGAATTTTACAATTAATGTTCGTATGATATCCATTAAATGTTAATATAATGTTAAATAATATTTCTGAGAATATTATAATAATATTTCAGGAACATTTCCATAATATGCTTCGGATAAATAGCATCAGTAGAATATCCCTGTGAAATTAGACAATATTAAATAATATATTAAATTTATATTTTCTTAATTATTTCAATTTAATTAGAATTTTGTGTATAAGGAATTATTATTTTAATGGACAATAATAGCTTAATGGCAAGCTGGCCCCCCAACTTTGAATGCGATTTCCTGCTAAACGGAGCAACAAATATCACATAAATATCATTAAATTTTCTTATAAAATTCTATTTGCGATGGTGGGAGTTTCAGCTTAATAGGGGTAAAAATATTATCTATTTTAAAATGCTGTATCGTTAATATTGATCTGTAATGAGCTATAATTTGTTTAGGTATGATTGAGAGATGGGAAACCTTGGCATCGCGAGTCGAGCAGGCGCAAAGTTTTCATCGTGAACTGGCTACCATGAAAACGGAGTTCAAAGCTATGCAAGATCGATTTTTCGATTACGAAATCGTTCTGGAACAGCCGCACGTGCTTGATGATCGCATCAGCAGAATCAATGTAAGTTGATTTCGACATTATGCACATTTTATTTCACATGTTATGTATTGAAAGTTACTTCGAAAAGAAGATTTCCCTGGCATGCAAAATTTACACGCAGATTTAGTTAGATTAAACTTTTTGATCGACTATCATTACATGAAAAGAACAGTTTTGCTAAAACATCTAAGAATTCGACCAAGTATATAGCTGTATAATTTTGTTGGACCATTAAAATAATTGTGCAGGAACGCTTGAACGCGATAATTATATTAAAAATGTTTTATATTCTAACAATTATGTTTTATATTCTAACAATTTGAATGTTTTATAGAAATATTTTGATGGAGTTTTGTAAAATTATTTTCAATTCTATATTTGGTCAAATTTTTAAATTATTTTACGCAACATGTTCTTTCTGTGTATATGTGAAGTTATGTATGACTTATGTGTTTATTTTATTCTATTATTACATTTTAGTCTTTGAATAATAAAATAAAAGTACTTTTTTATCAACAATGAATAAATTACACATGGATAATTCGTGTACTGCCGGTAAACGTACTGGTAGAGATATATCCTCTTATGCTAAACAAGAGAGTCGTGTGTGACTCGATTGATATAACAGATCTGCTCCTCTCTCCTGATCTTGCTCTTTGTTAAAGCAAAATGAATAACGCGAGATTGACTTTATTTACGCGATTTTTTTATAATAATTTCTTTTATTATATATTAATTAATTTAACTATAATCTTAATAGAAAAATATTAATTAAATAATTTGTATCTGAAGGTTTTATACTAGTAAGCATTACTACAAAATTTTTTTTATAAATATTACACTACAACATGTATTATTATTAATCAGTTTTGAATATATAATATACTAAAAAATTTTTATATTTGAAAATTTGGTTGAAAATTTTGCTACGACAGCGATTCTAAAAATTCGATAGATTCTAAAATTTAAGTTTTGAACGTGCTCGGTGCCTGACAAAATTTTACAAGTTCTTCCGGAATAGAATCGCGATGGGAAAGCAGGTTATTGGAAATGTCTTTAGTACAGCGGGTAAGACAGAAAAGTCAGAAGCTCGAAGGAGAAAACTCGCAGAAAGCAGCCGCAGTCGGGGAGGAGGAAGAGGAGGAGGAAGAGGAACAAAATGAAAGCGGTCGAAGGAGGTGGATCGAGGGTTGAGGGAGACTCTGACGGTTGCGAGAAGGGCAAAGAGAGGGGAGAATAGGAGAGAGCAGTCAGGAACCAAGTAGAGAGGCAGAGGTAGTGGCGTAAAAGCGTAGTCGTGTCGCACGTACGCTCGTCTGACGGCGACGTGCTCGGCATCGCAACTCGCGCGGAGAGCGAACGCCGGCGAACCTAGCCAACCCCGCTCGGTGGAGTTCCACCCCCCGAGAGTCATCCCCCTTCGATCCTCCAGGCACATCCACAGCCCTCCACAACCGCGGAAGCCCTCCGCTAGAAGCTGCCGCCACCGCCGCAACCCCCTCCCGCAACATCCTCCGCGCCCTCCCCAAGCCTCATTGCGAAGACCAAACACATGCTCCCTATCTATCATCAAGATGTATTAGCGTCCAACATTTGCCGGGTGAACTCGTCGCTCTGCTGCATTATGCACGAGACGTGTAGCTCGCGCCAATCCGCGCCGGTCCGAACGCGGGAGGAAGCTGCGATCCCGTTTCGCCTCTTCTCTTTTCTCTTCTTTTCCCCCTTTTTTTTTTTTTTTTTTTCTGGTTTACCTACTCTCGTGGCTTTTACTGTCGTCAAAGTCCCGACAGCGAGGGGAAGTTTGACGAGGTCATAAGACTCGCGATGTCGTACGCGACCGGTCACCGAGCGTTGCGCGGTCCCTCGGCGGGAATTCGTGCGGTCCGAGAAGCGGTCGCGAAAAGAATGGAACACGCAAACGGAAACATCAACGGTAGTCGTGTGCGCGTGTGCACACACGGGAGAGGACCGTCAACAAGCTGATTAGCTGTATATCGAGGATGATTGTCCGCCGCGCGACGCACGTGGTGAGCTCGCGATTGGGATGCAGGCCGCGGCTCCGAAAAGCGCAACGGCGCGAACAAACGCAGGACTGACGCGCGCGAGACAGAATTGAACGTTCCGTTATGTATTATGCATCGCTAAGCAGGGCACAATTGGGTCTACGCGTCTGTCCTGCGGGGCACGTACGCTCCCGTTGGCGTGGGCCGAACGTACGATGCGATTCGATGAGGCGCGTCGCCCCGTTGATTATGTTATTGCGTAATATCGGACAAACATACTAACGTGCAATTCGCTTCATCCCTCCCCCCTCCTCCCCAAAATTAATTTCCCGCGATAATTTTATGGCGTCCAATATACGGGACTCATAAAATTAACTTCAGGAATTGTGATATAACGAACAATTGTAGCATATTCATAATTAGCGTTTTAACGCGCAAAAATTTTATTTATGCGAGAGCAAAATTGCGATATAAAATAATAAATTCTTTGCTAATAAAATTCTTTGAAAATATATTTTTTTTTCTCTTGCGAGACTCGATCTTTACGTTCCATCGCGAAGGGAATCGCTGCGTTTCGCGTGGGGATCGTGGCACAATTAGAATACCATAGTGTATCTCCGTTCCACTTAGTACCGCGTAATTACGAGACGTAAAAAGCTAATTCTCTACTTTTACGGGGTACGTGCCCGGGGTGGTGTGGAGGGTGGTGGCCTCATAGGCATGCAGGTCCCGAACGCGCGACGACCGTTCTGTATACCGAATTCGAATCAATTGATTGGCTGTTGATTGGAAATTGAATTAGATCGGAATGTGCGTGTCTGCTGTGCGAGCCGCGAGAGCACGGCGAGGACGAGCGAGGGTAGCTGGTGGCAAGGGGGTTCGGCGGTGGCGGTGGCGGTGGCAGTGGCTGCCGCTGGTTATGCGTCGTTGATGCTGATGGCGGCGGTGGCGGTAGTAGTGGTGGCGGTGGCGAAGAGAAAAGCGGGGTGGTTACGAAAAGAGGGGAACGGTCGCTTCTGCCTTTGCTATGCGTCCGGAATATCAATGACAACCACTTTTCGCCGGACACCGGGGCAAATCCACGCTGTGCACTTCGCAACACCGACCGCGACGGGGGGGGGGGACCGTTCTCCTTTTCATCGCGCGATTTGCCCCGCTTGACGGCACAAACAAAACCAGCTAACTGCCAGCGTGCTCGTGGCTCGTTTGAAGAAATTTCTTTTCCTCCTCGCGAAAAAAAGAAACGGCAATGCCGATCGATCGTTCGATATCGGCGGAGGTTCTCGAGTCGAGTTGAAAGAAATAGCGAACACGAGCATTTATCAGCGACGGCATAGCTAAATATAAGGGTTGTAGGAACACGCGGCGTGACACGATGCAGTAACCACGTCACGTTGTCACATCCCCGTCGTCCTACCGCGGGACGCCACCAACGAGGACCGCATAAATAAACCCGGGTTTACGACGGCGACATAGGGCGTAAGAGAACGAAAACGAGAGCCTCGTTCCTCTTCCTCCCGTTCCATTTCTCTTGCTCATCGCGTGACGAGCAGAAGACCTCGTAGGGAAGCTCGTAAAGCTCGCCCTTGCGGTCATCTCGCGCGTCTTATGTTCTTTGCCTCTCGTCTCTTCCGTTCTTTAAAAGTAATTTCCTTCTCCTCGAAGAGACTACTACCGACTTCGCTATCATCGCTGCTGAGTCTTCGTCGATCTTCCGTCGATCTCACGTCGCACGCTGATTCTTTTATTTTCGTTTCCAGTGTTATTCTATGAATACAAATAATAATCGGTCCAAGCCATCGCAAATAATTTTTTTTAAAGAGAAGATATATTTTCAACAATATTTGAACGAACTTGATTTCTTCCGGACAATTGATTCGATGGACACGAAAGTAAGAGACCGGGAATGCGACGTTGCATCGATCGGCATGCGGGAAGGAAAGTTATCCGACATTTCGGTAGATACGCGATAAAACTCACTTAGATCCCACGTGTATCCGTTCTTGGCCGGATTCTTAGTCCGTGGCCACTTTATACATCACCTTCACCCTCGAGCGACCCCTGCGCGTTTGCCCCTGCACCGCGGAGTAATTCGTTTGAGTTAGCCGAGCGAGCCAGCTACTAAAAATGTATATTTTATGTTCGCAGGCCGAGCTGGCTGTTCTGAACGACCGCAAGACGACAACGATGCTCGCGGTGAACGCTTCCGTGCATCGGCTGACCACCGAACTCGGTGCCTCCCTGCCATTAATTAGCTCGGCACTTAAGAATGATGTGGCGGACCTTTACAGGATATGGGATGAGACGTCCCAAAAGTGAGTGTTTTTTTTTTTTTTTTTTTAACTTAATTTTCGGGAAAGTCAAAAGACGCTGTAGTGGAACCTTGTAAACTATAAATTTGTATCACTCGTTTAATTACTTTGCGAATACAAAATTAGAACCACACGCGCAATAATGTAAGATTGTTATCTGCAACAGATTTTGGAAAAGCGGTATAGTAACGAGCAAAAAAACGCCTTGATAGTTTTCTTGATTAATTTGGAGAGTGTCCTTACCCGCAGGGCTCAACGGTACATCCCGTATAGAATAGTTGGTACTGGATCATCGACTGGCCGTTTGCCGGTCGACGTGTGACGTTAGGCAAATATTTTGAGAGGTAATGAAGCCACCAAAGCAAACAACGGAAACCGAGAGCGGCATAGGTACCGCCAGTAAGGGCTCTCCTCGTTGGGATTTTGACCCGTGTCGCGGGATTACTGGCCTTAACGGAGATCGCGTTTAATCACGGACTTTTTCCGAGTGACAGCTCTAACAGAAAACGAACCGATCGAGATTCGAAAGGGTCAGCGCGATGCAATTCTCTTTCCAATTTCCTGCCGCGATTTCATCGATCGATGTGAGAGAAATATTTTTGTTTGTTAATCCGTAAAATATAATAAAATTTACTTTAATTTCTAAATGAATAGTCTCTATGCACATTAAAATTAATTTAATATTAAAATTAATTTATTTATCAGACATTTTGTATTTTATAGATTTTTTTAAATTAAATTTGATTAGGTAATTATTTTTAAAAAATGAACTTTTGTGACAATATTTTCTCTTGACAGCGAACAACAACGAATAGTTAGCGCGATCATTACAACCCTCTTTTAATTTCCATATGAGCACTCGATTCCCCCCCTTTGATAGGGGTTTAGGCTATTCAAAACGGGGTTTACCACTGACCCATTGGGGTTTGCAGAGGTCAATCCTATCCCTTAGAGGAGGGGTTTTTACAGAAACACTTCTATTCTTAACGAGGGATGATACTTCTACAAAGTATGGTTGTTGAACTCTTCAAAGTATTCGCGCAATTAATCGATGATTTACTCGGGAAAAAAGTGTTACAAAATTCTTATCAGTGTTGCATATCAATTCTTCTTCGCCCTTCTGATAGATACGCCAATGCGGAAAAGGGACACGGACCAACCTTCCTCGATTCATTCGTATGTTCACTAGGGACGTTCACAGATTGACCTGGAATAAAGTGTTTTTATTTGCCGATAGTGCCGGAGGGAGGGCCTACTAATAATTCGACGTCTTAATGTTTGCGCAACGGCTTTACCCTCTTTTCGTTTTTTATTGTATTGACTCGCATGATTTTTCTGCTCAAATTTGCTACGCGTTCTTTATATTCACCCTTTCGGGAAGTAATGAATAATTCATAGGATATAAACATAAGGAAAGAGAAGACAAAAATTTGTTAATAAAATAGTCCAATGTAAAGTGCTGTATAGTTTGTACTATTAGTTTATATTATTATCATTATTGTATGTACCCATTAAATGGTGACGAGATTTCTTTTGAGACTTATTATCAGTAATTGTTAAATTACTATAAGATATAATTATGTCCTGCGATATGGTATAATAAAATGTATTATTAAAGTATGCGGTTCATAATTTGTAAACGCGTATGTTTATATTCTTCTTTTCAGAGGTAATCAGCAGCTATGTGTTTTATCAGCTGTGCAGAAGTTCGGTACATGCTTGACCGAACTGCAGTCCGCTCTGCAGAGAGACAAGGACAGATTGGCGCTCCTAGATGTAGCTCTGCAAGCGGGTGCCACTTCGGAGGTCGCCTCCAACGTTCTTCAGCTCTCCCGGGTTCTATCCGAGAAACAGGACATCAATTGTCAGGTACAGCTTGAATTAAATTCGATATCCTTACCGTCCGATTAGCAGTAATAATAATAATAATAAATTATGCGTAAAATTATCTCTTCATGGAAAATTAATTAATTCAGTAATCGTTTGAAATCATAGAAATTTGATTTACATTCGTATTTTTTTTAAATTGACACGAAGCTTTTTTATTAAATTACGCGACGATTCTTAACTCGTTAAGATTATAGTTAATTGCGAATTTTGAAATTCTTCCTATCTACGTCAGATATTCCCATCGCATTCTTGATTTTCAATCGGTTAGATGGCTGTTAGCAATTATTCAACGCCGATGGATGGGGTAACGGTTCCCAGAGGCATCGCTTGTGTGCATAAAACCATTCCCCCACGTAGATTGGCGGAGTCGCGGGTCTCGGGGATGTAACTTACCTAAAGGAAAGCGAGATTATAATGCGGATTGTATATCCCGTATTTCCGATATACGTCACGCTAAATCGGCTTGCGAATCGCGTTCCTCAGATTGCGCGGCACAGATTCGGCCAGAGATACCGTATCGACCTTTTCTTCCTTCGATTAGCATAGCAAGCGATAAAATCAAATTTTGAACATACTTGTTGTGTTCTCGAATACAATTTTAATAGTAGTGCAGATTTTTGTAAACTCGTGTTATCACATTCGTGACAATTGAATATATCTGTATGGATGCATGTTCCGCGTGGAAATATTTGGAAAAAGTAAAAATAATTGAAAGTTATCGAGAAGACGAGAGTTGTATATACGTACGCCACATATGGCGCACGTCAGAAGATAAATCTTCGACTAGCCTGAACACGCGGAGGTTACTCGTAGTAGGTGGGGAAGAGGGGGGTGAGGGACGGGGCGGGGGGGCGGGGGCATAGAGGTCGGAGGGTACGTTTGACAGATGATACTTGTCGATATCGCGTCTCCGTTAAACGCCATCACATCTCCCTATTTCCACCATATCCGTCTCTAATTTGCATATAAAGTAAATCTCTTGGCAGGCCCGTTCTACGTACCGGGCTCCGTGCTTTATGGACGTAAGGAAAGTAGTTGAAGGTACAGCGAGCGGCAAGTTCGCGACCGCGAATTTCGATCAGCCCGCTCGTTTGGCCTGTCGGGAAGACGTACGGCTCCGATCTGCCGAGATTCGTGCACTTGATTCGAAGCCAGATGATTCTTCTGCTCGTGCGAAATCATCAAATTCGAACATTCATCACGCAAACAATGTCGTTGCGTTGATTCGTCGCGAGATGATCAAGGCGCTGTTAATTAATTCTTCCGCTCGCAAATTATCATTAGTACGATTGGAAGTATATATCGTCATATTCGAACGTCGAAAGTGTTTTTTTTTTTTTGTAGAGTTTGCACCCGACTGCCCTCGATCGGCGTGTAGGTGCTCCGTAACAATTTCCAATTGTCCCCGTGCTCATTTCGCCTGTCAAGAAGACGTACGACTCGCGTCGTACACAATGCTCTCACTCCAATAATAGGAGCCTTTCCTTTTCGTCTCGCTTCTTCTTCTTCTTCTTCTTCTTTCCATGTGTATCGCGTCTATATTTTAACGTATTCAAACTCCCGTCAAGCCGAAAAGTTCTTAGTCTTGCCGATCTACAGCACTCGAGGGAATAATTTCATGCACTTGACATTACGATTCTCCTTTTCTCTTTTTCTCTCGCCTCCTCCTCTTCCTCTTTCATCTTCCCCTCGCGACAGTCCTCTCCGCCCTTCCTCCTCCAGGCACCTCTACTTCGGGGAGCCGAAGAAGAGGGAAGGCTACGATAAAGCACTCGACATTACAGCCTTTTCTTACCTTGTAACATTGCAATTCTTTATTTCTCCGCGTTTTTATCCGCGAGATAGAGTAAATTAAAATTTTACAACATGTTTTTTAATTCCATAAAAATATCCCTTTCGCGTGCATATGTGCGTGCTGATTTAGGCAAACCGCACGATTTTTTCACATTTTCTTTCGCTCGTTGTTCGCGAGCCGCAAAAAGAATCCATAAGTTTTGATAGATAGTAAATAAAATATTAACCGATGCGAGCCTGGCGTTGGATGGCAAGCGGGAGGAGATAAGTTTTCGGCGCTGGGATACAGCGAGTCCGAGTTGCTATCGAGGGTGTTGGCCATCTCAGAGCCAGCGGCTCCCCAGGGAACTCCGATCGTTAATCGCCCGAACGATTCCCTTTCACGTCACGTACGGGAATGGCCCGTGGAATCAGCGTAAAAATACAAATTTAATATCAACCGCGGATAGAGCAAGGCGAGGTAACGCCCGCGTCGCTGCGAAAATTCCGTTTTGTTACGCGACGTACGGGCTTATCAATCGCGCGTCTTCGAGATCACATTAACCAGACGCATGATAAACGTCCGTTAAAAAAAAAACGCATAAGATTTCTTTTGCAGATTTCTTGAATGACTTGAATGAACTTGCACTCCGCGGAATATCTCGCTCTTCGCTTTTTCCCGGAGGATCGGGTCGGATTTTGCG